CCCCCCCCCCCCCCTTCCCCCTGTGCGCGGGCTGGCCGCCCCGTGCGTGCACTGGCAGATCCATCCTGGTGAAAGTGTTGAAAGAGCTTATTTGATGTTTCATGGGGATTAGAAAAATAGTGAAAGTGTATGCTTCAAATTAGTTTACTGGTAAAAAGTTGACAGTTGAATCAGAGGTATTGGGTGTAGTTTTAAATGTTAGCTTTTGATGGACTGACATGGCTGGAGTTATAGAGAATTGATTTGAATTGTTACTTAAGATAAAAAACCTCTACTTGTTTTTGATTTTTTCTTCTTTTTTTATTAGAGACAAACTACAACATTTCTACTTAAAAGTAGAAATGCCATAGCTGTCATATATCCCACACACACCTAAAGGCTACCGATTTCATAATTGGTTGGTTGTGGGCTTTTCACATGGTACTCTTTTTCCTTTGGTTTAAAGGGTTGTCCCTCCTCTCTTGAATAATTTCGACGTGGATGATTTACATGGATAGCTTGTATTCGATTAGGAAAGAAGAGATTAGTTGAGGTGTTTATAAACTGATCGGANTTCGACTACTATATGCTTCATGGGGCTTCATTTTGTTAGAGTGTTACTTTCCTATTATGTTATTTTCCTATATGTTACTTTCCTATTATTCTACTTTCTTGTAATTGTCTTCAATATCAATCGAATATAAATAGGTAGGGTGGTGGCAACACACAACGTTGTTTCACACTTTCTTTCTTCTTCTTCTCTTTCTTTTCTTTAACCCTAACGTACAATTATTCAAGTTTCAACTCATTCTTTAAGAAATCTTGTCAACTACTTACTCATGACAGGCTTCTTTTATTTTTTTTGTGAAAACACTTGGGAATGTCATTCAACTTATGCTGATGTTTGCCACAGAAACCGTGGGCAAGCTCTAGGGCTAATGGGCTGAGGGANAAGAATATCTTGGTGGAAGATATTATATTTCTTAGAACTTAGCTTTATTACTTGCTATAATAATTTTTTTTTTCTATCCAATTTATTAATCGATAACCNTATTATATTTCTTAGAACTTAGCTTTATTACTTGCTACAATAATTTTTTTTTTCTATCCAATTTATTAATTGATAACAATTTGTCTCAGCATAAAAATACCATTTTTTTTTCCTCGAAAGAGGGATGGGTTGATTGACAATGAGGGAGATTAGGTTGAAGAATCGATGTGTATTTGAAACGTGACATTGTAAAAATAAGGGTTTGAAAATCGCTTGTATATAATTGAGATACTATAGTAATAGGGTGAATTATAAGTTACACCCTCTAAGTTTATGCTTAATTTTTATTTGGGCTCTCAATAATTAATTGCAACATTCAAGACCTTAAACTTTACCATTAGTTTCAATTAACTATCTATGTCAAAATTCAACAGTAATTATGATAAGAAATATCACTTGAGCATTACGTCACATACATAATTTTGATCAAATTAATATGAAAATGGGTCAAATCTTAAAAGGTCAGGCAATACATCCAATTGAAGTACTCAAATCTATATCAAATGAGTCAACAAATGCAATTTTAATACCTAACTCTAAACCTAGGGCCAATTTACTCAGAATTAATCCTATAATTGGACCACGTTATGGTCCCGTAACTTTTTTCCTTTAAAATTATTAACGAATTTGAACCGAAGAACTTAATTGAAATAGAAGTTAAAGTTTAAGGACTTGATTATTTTAATTGATAGTTCATAGATTAAATAGAATTCAAGTGTAAACTTTGAAGGTATAATATATAGTTTACCTATAGTAATAATAAACAAAAACAAAAATAAAAAATTAGGGGTCGTTTGACAATTGCTTTGTTTGGTGTTTTTTGTTTTCAGTTTTTCCCAAAAAAAACAAACAAAAATATGTTTAGTATTTTTTTTCATCTAAGTTGTTTTGAAAACAAGCTCAAAATTTGAAACACAAAAAATTATGTTTCCAAAAAACAACATGCGCGTTGGTTTGAGAGATTTAATGAGATACACATTTCGAGCCTTACTAGCAACAAAAAAAATATTTTTTTCTTTGAAGAATAAAAGTCCAATTCATCGCCTTTAGTCCGTCACCTGTTCCTCTCTCTCACTTCTTTGTCTGTGTAATCTGTGTAATGATCGTTTATGTCGGAGTAACGAAGACCAAAGTGTTATCATAGAAAACACAAATTTTTTTTTTTCTATTTTTTATTGTTTTGAAAATAGAAAAATAAAAATATTACAAAATTGTTTCTGTTTTTTCATCTATAATTTTTATCTAATGGGTTTTAAAAATAATAATCACATTGTATTTTTATTTTTTCGTTTGGTAAAAATATCGTACTCACTAGACAAAGTTTCTTATTATCAACTGTCGGAGATAAATAAGTGTTAGACAGTTTTAGAAGCATTTGGAGGTTGGTAGTTTGGCCTGAATTATTTGCCTTCGGCCGAATTGAATAAAGAATTAGTCATAGTTTGTATAAGTTGGTCAGATACCCCGCCGGAAATTCTCCTTGAGACGACATCGTTTCATTAGTGACTTTTTCCTTTTTTTGAGCTCTGTTTATGTGTATCGTCGTCCTCTTCCTTCTTCCCTTTCTCACTCTCTGTCTTCTCTTTACTTCAACGTCCGCACCTCTCTCTCTCTCTCTCTCTCACACACACACACACACAGTCTCTGTCACACCCAAGAGCTTCAACTTCGACAGAAAGAAACAACTATTCAAATGCTGAAGACTATTTTGTGGTAAATCTTATTACATTTGAAAAATGCTATATTACTTTACTTCCATCATTCATTGCTCATCCTCGCATGTTAAATTTTTAGCGTAATTTGACAGTTGTTTGAAGCTAAGTATTTGCAACTGATTGCATGCCCACCAACTGTTTGATCGAAGTCCTGAATTCTGCATGTTGGTATATGACCTTGTTGATCCGACCCAACTCAACATGATTTGAACTGAATCAAAAACCCATTTGGGAGTCTTATGTTTTTGAGGATTGAGATGGTACTGGTTTTCTTTATTTATGTCTCGTTGATTTGTTAGTTTCTTCTTAAATTTTTTTTTCACCGAGTGTGTTTCGCTTAGTCTAAGGCCAATAACTGGCAATAGTAGGATATAGTTATGGGCCTTTCTGGTATGCAAGACACCAAAAGATGATGTGACTTAAACTTCGCATTTTTCAAATTAAGAAATAATATAACTTTCTTAATAAAACCATAGATTTTAGCTCAAATTACCCGAACATCTAGGCACAAGTTGTAGTAGTAGGAGGAGGAGGAGGAGGAGNCAACTGTTTGATCGAAGTCCTGAATTCTGCATGTTGGTATATGACCTTGTTGATCCGACCCAACTCAACATGATTTGAACTGAATCAAAAACCCATTTGGGAGTCTTATGTTTTTGAGGATTGAGATGGTACTGGTTTTCTTTATTTATGTCTCGTTGATTTGTTAGTTTCTTCTTAAATTTTTTTTTCACCGAGTGTGTTTCGCTTAGTCTAAGGCCAATAACTGGCAATAGTAGGATATAGTTATGGGCCTTTCTGGTATGCAAGACACCAAAAGATGATGTGACTTAAACTTCGCATTTTTCAAATTAAGAAATAATATAACTTTCTTACTAAAGCCATAGATTTTAGCTCAAATTACCCGAACATCTAGGCACAAGTAGTAGTAGTAGGAGGAGGAGGAGGAGGAGGAGGAGGAGGGGAGCGTATTTGCACTCAGTGCTTTTTCTAAATTGCTTAATTTTATTCATTTAATTATACAATAATATGAAACCAAGTTATTCCTAGCACTTACATATTTCATATTATAATGTCCAAAATTGGAATTTTCTAGCCGCCAAAGTGTTAGGAGCTTGACAACGACCACAAAGGCACTGCTGTGGTATTTAAATGAGCTCTTTGACGACGATGCACATCTTTGTTGTGATATTCACCTTTGTGCATTACTCAATTATGCTTGGAATATAAGCTCCAATCTCCTTGCCTTTCCTGTTTCTAAAATGCTGACTAGTCCTGTATCTCTTTTACTTGGATGTGTAGCTAATTGCAACCACATTGTCCTTTTAGAAGAATGTTGATGTTGTATGGAACAGAAGGAAAGGTTGGAATGAGCATATGATGGTAATTCTTTGGTTGCATCTCCACAAATTTGTCTACATTTAGGAGAAATTTTTTTATAACTTCAAGGGCAGGCAGGGTGCCTGGTTTGTGACATCTGTTATAATCTTTCAGATGGATGAATTGTTGAAGAGTCATATGTTTGCAGCCCATGCAATTGCTGCAGCAGGATCTATCACATTAGGCACTGTTCTCACTTATCCTCTGGATACTATCAAGGTCCTTCTACAGGTTTGAACGTTTGATGCCACTCTGCATGGATGCATGTGAACCAATGAATTTTCATTGATTTGAGAGCTGCTTGTTTGGGGGAACAACTTGTTTTTAATACTCATGCTGGTGTATTGTGGTGGATTGAAGAACAGGTCGGGTCAGGGCCCAGTAAACAATTGACTACAGCTCAAGTTCTTGACAGAGTTCGAACTTTATCAGGAAATTTAGGTGAATCATTTATTTATTGATTTTTTTGAATTCTCATCTGTACAACCAACAAGTCAAGTAAATTTCATTTCCTATTAACTTATTATCGGTGTGCGTTTTTATCTCACAGATAGGTAAGGGCAGTAATTCTACCTTCCTAAAATTGCAGATGCAACATTCTCCTTGAGCAACTTTTGATGTTTTACTTTCCGGGAAAAAAACTTTTGATGTTTTAACTCAGAAGGTCAACTTGTATGTTTATTATAGATTTTTATTGGAAAAAGTATGCATCTACAGGAAAATAGAAAGGATTTAACTTGAATGATGCTACTAGATGGATAAGTCTAACATTTTGTTTGTTCTTAACCTCTTTTAATTGTCGGCTATTTATATTTTCTTGAGCTGTGGCTGTATGTTCATTTATTTTTGATATTCAATACTTGAAGCAGCCGAAAACTGCAGGAAGGGCATTTTTTTTAGATTATAAAACATCCGCATAATTCTTTCATTCAATTGTAAATGGCTCAAATGCGACATTGCTTGACACTTACTAGACTCAGTTGAAGATGCCTGATGTTTGGATGGCTTACAAAATGGATCTTGACTGATTCTAATCACTGTCCATATTCTAGGCTTTCAGATAAAAGGAATGAAATGAAAGGTCAATATATGATTTTGGAGACCCATCTTGATATAGTCTGGTAGTTCGTGATATCTATATTATTTTGCATAATAGGAGATGCCGATGTGCTTCTTGAATTTGCATAGATTTGTTCAATCCAGCCATAGATATCAAATCTAGAAAAAAATCAATAAGAATTGTTCTACTTAAGATCAGGGAATATGAGTGGAAATGCAAAAAGGAGTTAAACCAGCAACGTAATAAGTAAGGATTCACGNTTCTTGAATTTGCATAGATTTGTTCAATCCAGCCATAGATATCAAATCTAGAAAAAATCAATAAGAATTGTTCTACTTAAGATCAGGGAATATGAGTGGAAATGCAAAAAGGAGTTAAACCAGCAACGTAATAAGCTTTTAAGGATTCACANTCTAGAAAAAAATCAATAAGAATTGTTCTACTTAAGATCAGGGAATATGAGTGGAAATGCAAAAAGGAGTTAAACCAGCAACGTAATAAGTAAGGATTCACGAGGCGTTATTGCTGGAGCAGTGCTTTGCCATACCTTCCTATAATCATGCATTTGGCATACTTATACTATCCTACATTCTCTCTCTCTTTCTGTATTCCATTTGTTGAGCAGGTTATAAACACATATACCACTGGTTAAGCTAATTTGGATTCTTAATCCTAACTATGCTCAGTTGAATATCTTTTATCCCATGGACATTGTAGGTTTGTTCAACGGTCTTGGGTGGTGTACACTTGGAAGAATCTCAGGTGTGGGAACTCGCTTTGGTATTTATGAAATACTTACAGCTTTCTGCAAAGGTATATTCTTCATTTTGATTCATTTGGCCATTCATTGCTATAATTCTTTTCAAAATTCTTGTGGTCTTTGTTGGCGTCTGTGATAGAGTGGTGCTACTGTGCTTTGTTTTACCGTTTCCACTTTTTTTCATTTTCATATTTCTAAAAGTAACCATTATGTGCCATGGGTGGGGTTATGTTTGGATCCCGACCAGTTTTAATGCTAGAATGCGGCAGACTACCCTCATTGAATATGATTTCTTAGTTAAAGTTGGCATGGGTCCCATGCCTTACATTTGTAAGGGTAGTTAACACAGGGAGAGTGGTAGATTCGTGATAAACCTAACTTTTGGCATCATTTATGCAAATTAATTGTTCTGATACCTTACTTGCACTATTGCTTGGTACCGTGGCATTTTTGTAGTTGCATCAAACAATGGCCTCCATGCACTGCATTATTGTAAAAGTGAAAAGAGGTGCATGAAAAGCTATGGCAAGTTGTAACAAGAGAGAATATTTTACATAAAAAATGAAACATTAGACTTAATCAAATATTTTCAATGAATAATTTTGAATTTTCCCTGCTTCTTGTCTGATAAATTATTGAGGCATGTTCTTCAAATTAATAGATCAGCGGGGCTGCATCTTTTCCCATTTTTATTTCTTGGTTGATCTGAATCTTACTCAAGCCATGTCCAATGGCTCACTGTGTCATACGAACACTGTCCAATGGTTTTCATATGAACACCTTATCTGCAGCTTACTATCCTTTTCTGGCAGATGGTCGAGAAGATGATTATGTGCATGCCTCTGAGGCCCTCATGGCTGGAATTGCGGCTGGTGCCATGGAGTCATTCATAGCCTCGCCATTTGAACTTATTAAACTTCGTGCACAGGTGACTTCTGCTTCTCGCATTCCAAGCTCTACTGCTGTTGCAGAAAAAAGTGCTGTTTCGCCTTTGATTGCAAGATTACTACGCGGTTATTCTCCAGACATCAGGTCATTGAACCATTCTGTTGGTCTTTTATCCACCCTGACTGACAAACATGCCAGTATCATTGGTGCCTTAAAAGGGTATCCATGGATGTTGACTGGGTCTGGGAAGCCGCCATCTGTTTATGATGTTCGCAGGCCTTTGGACATAATCTCTTTGGAAGGATGGGGTGCTCCATGGAGAGGTCTCCGATCAGGAGTAGTTCGAGATTCCATATTTGGCGGCATATTCTTTTCAAGCTGGCAATTCCTACACACAGCAATGCTTAATTGGAAGGCAGTTGAAATGGATCCTCCACCAAGGTGTTAAATCTGTCTCCCATTAATTTTATTATTGAGATTCCACCAAATGAACTCTTTGTTGTGCTTAGCCTTGACTATAGAGGCCATTGAGAAAACTCTGTGTAATTCCTTTTTCTTTTCTGTTTGGGGTTCCTCCCCGGGTACTGATCTTTGGGGTTGTACCTTGGATTTGGGGTTGCACATGTTCTTCAATTCACTATTGGAAAATAACCTTTTCTCTCAGAGGTTTGACTACCCTCTTGATTGTAAATTTCAGACAGAGTGCCTGAGACACGTGATATTCAAAATTATATCATTCCTTGTGTTAACCACAATCCAATGTTCATATTGATGTAGCAATTGGAAGGCCTAGGCTATTCAGCATCCCTGCATGGTTAGATTTTTTTTCCCCCAAACCATGTTTAACTATATGTGGCTTGAAACTCTTCGGTCGAGTCAGATAGTGTCGCCGCACAATTGATTTGTCCATATTCAATGAACTTTCCCCCAAATTAAAAAAAAAAAACAATTAGTACAGGTACACAAAGACACATAGGGAGATAGATATGAATGGCTATACGTATATATCCTTACAAGTGGAGAATTTAGTACCCAGATCTAGTTTTGAGTCATGTTATGAAGGTTCTTTATCTGGTGACTGAATGTTTGCAGTATTGCACTGAAAATAGCTCATGTTGGTATGCGTCACAAGGTAACACCCCTTGTGCAACTTTTTTCACGAAGGAGGTTACCCATGAAGACGTTGCTCAACAACTAGCCACTCAAACATGAAGAGGGGCACAAACGCACACAAAGGCAATACACGAAGTACAGGGAATTCACTCCCCAATCTTATACTGTTGCTCACAACAATATAAGAAATCAAAATTCGGCAAAGGACTCTCTGTCTACAGATTGCCCAGGCATCCCCTATTTATACCGAGAATACAACATTTGATCCCAACGGCCTAGGGTTTACTGTTCCACTAACCGGCTAGTTGTATGGGCNGGCAAAGGACTCTCTGTCTACAGATTGCCCAGGCATCCCCTATTTATACCGAGAATAAAACATTTGATCCCAACGGCCTAGGGTTTACTGTTCCACTAACCGGCTAGTTGTATGGGTATGACTGTTTACAGTAACAACTGCCATGTTAGGCTGCGTCTCTATTTGGCAGGTGTCTGGCGGTTCTTCCAACTCATCACCTGATTTGGTAACCACCTTCAATTGCTCGCCCCTGATCAGGTCATGCTTGGTAACCGCCCTCGATTGCTTGTCCCTATGATCAGTTCATGCACAACAACCACTCTTAACTGCATGGTTTCATGCATTGAATAGACCTGTTCCAGTCATGTGCCTGCAAATCAGCAGCCAAGCTTTGCCCACAAACCAATCAAGCATGTTGGGTCAAACCAAGGCATGCCTTCCGAAGCCATGCACCAATATTGCCTCGATCAAGCCCACTACGTGCTGTCATCCTTAGCCGTGTGGTCTTTTGTAGCTATAGGNACTCATCACCTGATTTGGTAACCACCTTCAATTGCTCGCCCCTGATCAGGTCATGCTTGGTAACCGCCCTCGATTGCTTGTCCCTATGATCAGTTCATGCACAACAACCACTCTTAACTGCATGGTTTCATGCATTGAATAGACCTGTTCCAGTCATGTGCCTGCAAATCAGCAGCCAAGCTTTGCCCACAAACCAATCAAGCATGTTGGGTCAAACCAAGCCATGCCTTCCGAAGCCATGCACCAATATTGCCTCGATCAAGCCCACTACGTGCTGTCATCCTTAGCTGTGTGGTCTTTTGTAGCTATAGCTCCCCACAATTTTTTTGGTCTCGCCATTTATCTCATGTTTCTTTGTCCGCCTTGCCTCTCCTGCAGCAAGGTCCTTGCTGCATGTCTTACCCAACGATGCTAAGGCTTGGGGGCACACGGCTTGCTGAGCCCTTGGTGCCCTTAGCCATCACCACTCCCTCATATATGCTTCACCAAGGTTTTCCAAAGAGACATGAGCAGCATCTTTTGAACCGAGTAAGCATAATGACGAGAGCCTGGGGCATTGCGCCTGGATTTTTGTCGAACACCTTAGCCACATCACCTTGCTTTGAAGTCATGGAGTGCCTTGGTGTACCCCCAAGAAATGTCCATTTCCACCTAAGTCAATTAGGGTCTGACAGTTTGCTAAGATAGACCAAGTAAACACACCCAAATTTTTTTTTTTCTATTAAATTAACTTCCAACTGGACGTGGCGTATCAAAATGAGAAGTTGATTTTGCATCAGGGGAAGTAGTGAGTTAACTGAGGAGTTTTACTGGTGGAAGAGTGGAGTGTATGGGGGCTTATGGTTAGAGGAAATCACATGATAAGTCAATGATGAACACTTGAAGATAGAGAGAGAGACTGCTCTTAAATGCTTGCATTACAGTTTGTTTTTAGTATTTCTCAGGGTGTGGGAGATTCTTTTCTTTCTATCTTTCTTTCTTTCTTTCCCTTTCCCTTTTTATTTGGTTGATATGGATTTGGATTGAGGTGAAATATAGCTTTGTAGGACGGTAAAATACAACATTTGTTAAACATTTAAAGGATCATTTCACTGGTCTGATTTGGCCTCAGTTCTCTTCTTAATGATTTCTAGATAGAATTTATGATGTTGCTCTTGTATTAGGATTACAGAACTTCTTGTACTAGTGCTTGTAGGGTTATTCTCGAGTGGTTTGTATGGTATCCTTGTGGTGCTAGGGGATTGCAGATATGAGATTTGAGGCAAGGATAATTACTCTTAATTTCTTGTACTAACTAGCATATATGGAGCATAGGGTTGGTATCCTATTTAGTCCCCGTTAACCGGGAGTTAATCTAGGTTTTCTTATATTTTATACCTGCGCCCCAGTTTTTTCAAAAATAAAAGATGCACAGTATGGTGATCTTCTCCTAGCATGCCCTAACATGTTGCAAATTGTCCAGCCACTTTTTCATGTGTACTACACATGTCCAAAAGATCTTCGTGTCTTAGATGTGGTAATGGGTATGATATCTTGTCTGCCTAATTTTTTTTTTTTTGATAGGAAACAAAATTCTTTTATTAATATAATAGAAGCGCAAAATGGAAGGGCACATCAAAGAGGTTGCATAAGTAAACCAACCTAGAGAAAACGAGAGAGCAATGGGGCAAATACAATAGAACACATTTCTAACTTATAAATCATATGATTCTTGTCATCCCACTTGAATAGAAAAAAGTAAAATCCCATTTAATTCCTTTGTAACCGAGGGTCAAAAAGATGATAAGAAGTAAATGCGATCCCATAACCCTTCCAAGCAATATTTTAGATCCTCAAAGATTCTTGCATTTCTTTCCTTCCAAATAACCCAAAACATAGCCATTATAGCATTATTCCAAAGAGTCTCGCCTTTACCATATCTACCTAGGCTTTTCAAATTTTCAACAAACAAAGATGTAGATGAAGCCGAAATCATCCATTTCATTCCCACCAATCCAAATAGCTTATACCCCTGAGTCATAGCAATTGTAAGAATAAATGGTCAATGTTTTCAAATCACCTTTGCACATCACACACCATTGGGTGTAAGAATAAATGGTCAATGTTTTCAAAATCATCTTTGCACATCACACACCACTGGGGGGAAAGATAAGTGTTAGACCTTCTTTTTTGAAGCATATCAAAGGTATTAATTTTACAATGTGCAATAGTCCATGCCAAAACTTACAAGAAGCACCTTCGCCTTCCAAATGAACAAAGCAGGAATAAAGAGAGGACTAGAAAGTTCTATAGCATCCCTCTCTCTCTCTCTCTCTGGTTTTGTATAGGTGAATGTGTGTGTTCTTGTTAAAGGAGGTTTGTTTTATTCAGGTCTGATGGAGAAATTGGTCCACTGTCTCCTCTAGCTGTTAGTCTTGCAGCTGGGTTTTCTGGTTCAATTGCTGCTGCTGCTTCTCATTGTTTCGATACTGCTAGAAGTCGAGCACAATGTACTGTGCTGCCCAAGGTATGCTACATGTTAAGAGATGATGTTAGTTACTTATATTGCATGATCTTAACTGTTTCTATTTCTTAGCCTTTTTTGAATGGAATGCTATCAGATTCATTTTTTCGATTCTGACTGCTTCCTATGCTAGGTTATCATGTAGCCTGTATTTGTTTTATTTTCCTTTGTGAATTTTATGATTCTTGTGATGAAATTACATTTCAGTTGCTTTCCTACCCTGACCGTTTGCGATACAATCTTTACCTTTTACTAATTTTGGGAGGATCTTCTTGACAAGTCATGAAGCATTCATTCGAAACTTTCAACTTTGGGTTGAATGTTGGTCATTTTTGAAGTGGAATACATGTGTAAAATTCAGATTCATGGCATAAAGTACCAATATTAAGGGTGCTGGAGTTCTTAGTTAAGCTGGATAATCCTTCATGACAAACCAGGCATTTGAAACATTATCTTTGGGCTGAGTTTTTGGTAACTTTCGAAGTGAAATACATTTGTAAGCACTGATATTAAGGGTGCTGGAGTTCTTAGTTAAGCTGGAGACTCCCTCGTGACAAATCGTGAAGTATTCATTTGAAACTTTAACTTTGGCCTGAAGTTTGGTCACTTTCAAAGTGTATCTGTAAAATTTGGAATCATGACTACCGATATTAAGGGTGCTGGAGTTCTTAGTTAAGCTTAGAAGTAAGACGAATGACCCTTTTATGATTTACCATTGATTGCTTTGGTGGAGTCTCCCGATTGTGTGAACTACTTCTATTCTGCAAGAAATTTCTAGTTTGGTTCCGAGTGATGTCATATACTTGGTGTCATGATTTTATTTCTGTGATGCAATGAAAAGTTTCTAGCATCTGAGGATGGCATCTAAGAATGTGGCATCATACTTTGGTTGCTAGGTCATGAATATTATACATGTCCTGTGAAGGTTACATTGGTGTGGATTGGATGCAGAACAGCCGCCCAATAGATTTTTATATTGATTTGATGCGAGGAACAAAGATTTTATGGTTGCTAGAGGCAGAAAAAAAAAAAAAAAAACATAGCCAAGTCAGGAGGGCGAGAAAGCTCTTTTTTGTAACATCACGTGAAAGATTCCCTATGTCAATTCCTTCCGTTGTTTGAATATCGATGACACAAATGGAAGGGTAAACTCTAATGGCATTCCACGTGGTTTCTGGTAATTTCACAAGTAGCCTCCTCATCATATTCTTTCTCCCTCCTAAGGGGATGGAAGTAGTTCAGTTATTAATTGGCTTGCCAAAAAATCAGAATTGCCTATATATGTTATCATTTCTGAACACAGAGAAAAACCATATCTGAATCCCCTCCTCCCATCGACTGAACCCCCTTTCCAAAACCCCACACCGACCGCCTTCTCCTCAAGATCACATGCCAACCCACCCCGCTCCCCTCTCCCATCCACAAAAATGCCCTGGGCTGACCCCCACCTCATCAAGAACCCCTGTGGAAATCCTCTCTCTCCATCCACTCACCCACCCACCAGTTGCTGCACTCTCCTCCATAATCACAGCCACATCCTTTGGTCCTCCAGTATTAATCCCCATGGCTACATAAATTGATGTACAAATAAGAGAAAATTATAGAGTGAAAATTCTCTCCCTTTCCCCCACAGCTTGCCAAACACCCTCTCACCCACCAGCTGCTGCACCCTACTCCATAAGCACCGCCACATCCTTTGCTCCTCCAGTCCTAATCCCCATGGCCACATATATCTATGTGCCTATAAAGAGAAAGTTGTACAGAGAACACACACACACACACAAATATACAAATATATATATATATATATTTAAAATACCCATTTGTGCATGTATATTTAGAATTGGAGAGAGTGACAGTCAATCTCTCTCTCTGTGCATGTGTGTTATTTATATATATACTTGAGGGGCTGATGGGAGAGGAAGAAATGGGGCAGAGAACTTGTTTAGTTTTACACTTCTACTTCATGTGGATAAAATGGGTATTTTAAAAATACTGGACGATGTCAGCAATTTCCATTGCTAAACCGCATTGTAGACCTGTGGAGGGATACCCTGTGAAATACAAGCCCAAACCAAAAGGGATTAGAATGCAATATCAGGAACCACTAGGTTATTCCGTTAAATGGTCAAAAACATAGAGGGCTGTCAGTGTAATTTTCCCTATAAGAAAAGAGTGTAGCATTTGTTGAACTCGCTAGTGTTGGTTACATCATGTTTGGGGGATTCATAAGATTCTATAATAGCACCAGTAAATGATTATGTTTTTCTTACTGCAGTATATGTCTATGGAGAGAAGGCTTCTCAAATGGAGACGACCAGGGAAAAGGTTTGAGAGACTTACTGGGATCCACCCTGCAGATAGAAACATACTGTTCCGCGGCATTTGGCACAGGATGGCTTGCAGTGGATTTTCATCATTTGTGCTTGTAGGAAGTTATTTTCTGGCAATTGATCACCTGGTTTCGAGATGATTGACAGGATAAGGAGCTCTGAATGAGTTTGCCATTTACCTTGTAAGTGGGCACTAAAATTTTATGCATTCAGGTTCTTTTGTTTGAGAAGAACTCTCCGGGTTCAGAAACTTCCCTTCACTTGAAATTTTGACAGCTTGACATGTATTTTACCTACAAAAATCAATGAAAGTTGAGGAACAACAAACCATTTACTAGTTTTGGAGTTTTCGCCTGGCTTTGAAGTGAGGTAAATGGTGAAATAAGTTTCCCATAGAATGCGAGTGTGGAGGCTTTCATCGAAACAAATAGAGGATTGTAGTTGATTTAGGGAGAACTACCATACTATAAAACATAAAAGATACGGTTGTGATGGATAGTAAAGACAGATACAGTTGCTATAGAACACCAAGATATGATCGCTATTCTTTGGAATAGACCTGCTATCAAAATTTACCAATAATCCATGCAAGAACACAATCCATTCTCAAAATGATGAAATCGCTTTCGATCCCTTACAATTATGCTTCGTCTAAAGATTCTAGAAATGATTTTTATTACAGAATGACAATCCTCACATATTCGAAGGTTCTTCACCACCCGAAGTGGTGTTTGGGGTCTTGTACTGATCAGCCCCAAGGCAAGTGCAATTTTCTCACTATGGTAGTGCAATGCACTTTCTCTCTCTTCATCGTCTATATTGAGGCAAACCTGTGTAGTGTCTGGCATATATCCGATCAAACCCAATTTGTAAGACATCTCCTCCAACATCATACGGATTTCTTTGGCTCTCGGATGAGAGTCGTCTTCCACGAGAAACTCATGAATCACCCCATCAAGCTCTATCCAACTACATCCAGGGTCTTTCCTTATGTCCATTTTCTTCATCATCAACCTAACCTCTGCAACTGCCTCCCAGTTTCTCAAAGAAGCATACATGTTCGACAATGCTACATACGATCCACTATCACAAGGGGCCATGTTCTTTAAACTTTTCGCTACCTGTTTGCCGATCTCGACGTTTCCATGTATCTTGCAAGCACCAAGCAAGGCTTTCATTATCACATCATCTGGCTTATGGGGCATGTTAATGATAAGCTCTTCAGCTTCTTCTAAAAGACCTGCACGGCCTAAAAGATCGACCATGCACCCATAGTGTTCGATCCTAGGTTCCAAGCCAACTACCTCGACCATGTGATCGAAAATTGATCTTCCCTCCTGCACTAAACCTGCATGGCTACATGCACTCAAGAGACCAATGTACGTCGCATCACTCGGAGCCACTCCTGTTTGTTGCATCCTCCAGAAATGATCAATCGCATCCTTTGCTCTTCCATGGATAGCTAGTCCACTAATGATAGCATTCCAAGTGATCACATTTTTTTGCTGCAAGTCCTCGAATGCCTGGAGTGCCTTTTCAATACTCCCACACTTGGAATACATATCAATCAAAGCAGAACCAAGCACCTCATCAATTACTATCCCATTTTTTACTGCATATAAATGCACCCATTTGCCCAACTCCAGCGCCCCAAGTCGTGTAATCGCAGGAAGAACACTAACCAGTGTAATATAATTCGGATTCGCATCACCCATCTGCATTTCCCTGAACAGCTCTATCGCCTCCTTAAAGAAGTCATGTTGTGCATACCCAGAAATCATAGAGTTCCATGAGACCACACTTCTCTGCGGCATTTCATCGAACAACTTCCTCGCCAACTCAAAGTCCCCGAGTCTGACATACCCATCAATCATCACATTCCACAAAATGACATTACCCATTTGCCTTCTCTTCTCTATTTTCTCGCTCTCCAACTCGTTATCACGAACCCCCGCTTCAAAAAGTATATAAGCATCATCCATGACACCACACAAAAGATACATTCTCACAAGATTACTCAGAACAAATTCATCATTCTCTATCCTATACTTTATAACCATACCATGAACTTGTTTACCTTCTTCAAGCCGACCCAATTTAGCACACGCTTTCAGCACAGAAGGAAACGTAAAGCAATTGGGTTTAACGAACTCATTACAAAGCATTGCATGGAAAAGCAAAAAGGCCTGCAATGGGTCTTCAATGTTATTGTTGGTGGTCTCAGATAGAGCTCTGATGAGAGTGTTCCAAGAAAAGCAGTTGGGTTGGTCCATATGGTGGAAGATATGGCGGGCATAGTGCAGGTCGCGGTGGGGTGGGTCAGAAAGGGCGCAGAAGCGGAGGACTTCGGCAGCGACAAGTGGGTCGCGAATGTGCCCGGTTTTGATGAGCTTGGCATGAACTTGTTTGACGTCGCGAATGGTTTTGCATGTCTGGAGTTCGGGGAACAGTACGGATGGGTGTGGAGTAGCGGCTGTGGGATTGAGGATTGTGGAGTTCATGGGTGTGTGAGAGACAAATTGGTTCCAGAGGGTCATTGATTCGAGTTCTGAATAATTTGAATCAACCACGGGCTTAATCAGCCATTAAAATTTGGCTAAATTGCACGGTTAGTCTCTGAAGTTTACCATTTATTACATTTTTGTCTCTAAATTTTTAATTTTATCAATTTCGTCCTCTATATTAATACATTTACTGACTTAAGTTTTTACTCTTAACTGCCGTCTAAAAAAGTGCAAAAAAGAGCACGTGAGTGGCATGTGATAGAGTTAGAAAGACAATACACATTAAATGATTATATTACCCTTCTAACTCCATCACATACCACTCACATATTTTTTTTCCGTCACTTTTTTCGACGGTAGTTATGAGTAATGACCAAAGTTAGTCAATGTATTAATATAAAAGACGAAATCGACAAACTTAGAACTTCGAAGACAAAAATGTAACAAGTGACAAACGTCGACGACTACGGGTGAAATTTACCCTTAAAATTTCGGTCATACTAGTGACCAAATATTTGGACACAAGCTCAAATATGTGGAAATTCCTCACCCACTAATAAATAAATAAAGGGTTCAACAATATTCGATTTGGATATTTAAATTTTATCTTATCATTTTGACTATAAATTTAGTCTCAAATTTGGTTAGTTAAGAATTTTTGTTAAATTTTACACCAATTATGCATTGAACTACAAAATTAATTTGAGTAGTCATGGTCGTTATCAAGGTATACGATCTAAGAAACACGAGCGTAGTTTGAATTTGGCTTGATTTGGATTCAAAAAAATTAGTTGAATATGATTAGGTTGAGTTAAATCCTATCAACGTATGATTGTAACTTAGCTTGAACAAAATTATGTTTATTGATAATTTTAATTTAATTGCTAAATACCATGTTAGAATATAAAATTGGTCTTAGAAACAACGAGTAAAATTTTAATATGTTTAGTGGTTTCAAGTAGAAATGATGGTAGAAAATTAAAGTAGAGTTCGGACTACACACTCCCCTCTCCATCTTTTTTTGTTGACTTTTTAAATTTCAACTCCTAGAGTTTAATTTAGCAAATTTTGCTAAATAGATTATGTTAATTGATTTTTAAGTCGGTGTGTTTTTTACTATTGTTGAGAGTAGGTCGGCCTTTCAACGGATCGAGTTTAGATCGAATTTGAATTGATGCAAATTTGAACTTAATTTTAAAATTCTAATTTGAATTCAATTCGATATATTTTATTTTCGTGGTCTATATTCGAATCCGTTAACAATCCAAAATTTAATTCGATTCTAATAACTTAATTAACTAAAATTTAACAAATTATACTTAAATGTCAACTAATTTTTTTTAAATAATCACTTATTTGCTTTACTAATTATGTATAAATATACAAATAATTCGAATCGGATATAAATATATCCAAATTTGAATCCGTGAAATATAAGATATAAGATTCAGATTATCGATAAAAAATATCAATTCATATCAGCCTAATTAAATTTGAATCAGAATCTAATCTATTGACATGCCTTGATTTTGACTNAATATATATATATATATATTTAAAATACCCATTTGTGCATGTATATTTAGAATTGGAGAGAGTGACAGTCAATCTCTCTCTCTGTGCATGTGTGTTATTTATATATATACTTGAGGGGCTGATGGGAGAGGAAGAAATGGGGCAGAGAACTTGTTTAGTTTTACACTTCTACTTCATGTGGATAAAATGGGTATTTTAAAAATACTGGACGATGTCAGCAATTTCCATTGCTAAACCGCATTGTAGACCTGTGGAGGGATACCCTGTGAAATACAAGCCCAAACCAAAAGGGATTAGAATGCAATATCAGGAACCACTAGGTTATTCCGTTAAATGGTCAAAAACATAGAGGGCTGTCAGTGTAATTTTCCCTATAAGAAAAGAGTGTAGCATTTGTTGAACTCGCTAGTGTTGGTTACATCATGTTTGGGGGATTCATAAGATTCTATAATAGCACCAGTAAATGATTATGTTTTTCTTACTGCAGTATATGTCTATGGAGAGAAGGCTTCTCAAATGGAGACGACCAGGGAAAAGGTTTGAGAGACTTACTGGGATCCACCCTGCAGATAGAAACATACTGTTCCGCGGCATTTGGCACAGGATGGCTTGCAGTGGATTTTCATCATTTGTGCTTGTAGGAAGTTATTTTCTGGCAATTGATCACCTGGTTTCGAGATGATTGACAGGATAAGGAGCTCTGAATGAGTTTGCCATTTACCTTGTAAGTGGGCACTAAAATTTTATGCATTCAGGTTCTTTTGTTTGAGAAGAACTCTCCGGGTTCAGAAACTTCCCTTCACTTGAAATTTTGACAGCTTGACATGTATTTTACCTACAAAAATCAATGAAAGTTGAGGAACAACAAACCATTTACTAGTTTTGGAGTTTTCGCCTGGCTTTGAAGTGAGGTAAATGGTGAAATAAGTTTCCCATAGAATGCGAGTGTGGAGGCTTTCATCGAAACAAATAGAGGATTGTAGTTGATTTAGGGAGAACTACCATACTATAAAACATAAAAGATACGGTTGTGATGGATAGTAAAGACAGATACAGTTGCTATAGAACACCAAGATATGATCGCTATTCTTTGGAATAGACCTGCTATCAAAATTTACCAATAATCCATGCAAGAACACAATCCATTCTCAAAATGATGAAATCGCTTTCGATCCCTTACAATTATGCTTCGTCTAAAGATTCTAGAAATGATTTTTATTACAGAATGACAATCCTCACATATTCGAAGGTTCTTCACCACCCGAAGTGGTGTTTGGGGTCTTGTACTGATCAGCCCCAAGGCAAGTGCAATTTTCTCACTATGGTAGTGCAATGCACTTTCTCTCTCTTCATCGTCTATATTGAGGCAAACCTGTGTAGTGTCTGGCATATATCCGATCAAACCCAATTTGTAAGACATCTCCTCCAACATCATACGGATTTCTTTGGCTCTCGGATGAGAGTCGTCTTCCACGAGAAACTCATGAATCACCCCATCAAGCTCTATCCAACTACATCCAGGGTCTTTCCTTATGTCCATTTTCTTCATCATCAACCTAACCTCTGCAACTGCCTCCCAGTTTCTCAAAGAAGCATACATGTTCGACAATGCTACATACGATCCACTATCACAAGGAGCCATGTTCTTTAAACTTTTCGCTACCTGTTTGCCGATCTCGACGTTTCCATGTATCTTGCAAGCACCAAGCAAGGCTTTCATTATCACATCATCTGGCTTATGGGGCATGTTAATGATAAGCTCTTCAGCTTCTTCTAAAAGACCTGCACGGCCTAAAAGATCGACCATGCACCCATAGTGTTCGATCCTAGGTTCCAAGCCAACTACCTCGACCATGTGATCGAAAATTGATCTTCCCTCCTGCACTAAACCTGCATGGCTACATGCACTCAAGAGACCAATGTACGTCGCATCACTCGGAGCCACTCCTGTTTGTTGCATCCTCCAGAAATGATCAATCGCATCCTTTGCTCTTCCATGGATAGCTAGTCCACTAATGATAGCATTCCAAGTGATCACATTTTTTTGCTGCAAGTCCTCGAATGCCTGGAGTGCCTTTTCAATACTCCCACACTTGGAATACATATCAATCAAAGCAGAACCAAGCACCTCATCAATTACTATCCCATTTTTTACTGCATATAAATGCACCCATTTGCCCAACTCCAGCGCCCCAAGTCGTGTAATCGCAGGAAGAACACTAACCAGTGTAATATAATTCGGATTCGCATCACCCATCTGCATTTCCCTGAACAGCTCTATCGCCTCCTTAAAGAAGTCATGTTGTGCATACCCAGAAATCATAGAGTTCCATGAGACCACACTTCTCTGCGGCATTTCATCGAACAACTTCCTCGCCAACTCAAAGTCCCCGAGTCTGACATACCCATCAATCATCACATTCCACAAAATGACATTACCCATTTGCCTTCTCTTCTCTATTTTCTCGCTCTCCAACTCGTTATCACGAACCCCCGCTTCAAAAAGTATATAAGCATCATCCATGACACCACACAAAAGATACATTCTCACAAGATTACTCAGAACAAATTCATCATTCTCTATCCTATACTTTATAACCATACCATGAACTTGTTTACCTTCTTCAAGCCGACCCAATTTAGCACACGCTTTCAGCACAGAAGGAAACGTAAAGCAATTGGGTTTAACGAACTCATTACAAAGCATTGCATGGAAAAGCAAAAAGGCCTGCAATGGGTCTTCAATGTTATTGTTGGTGGTCTCAGATAGAGCTCTGATGAGAGTGTTCCAAGAAAAGCAGTTGGGTTGGTCCATATGGTGGAAGATATGGCGGGCATAGTGCAGGTCGCGGTGGGGTGGGTCAGAAAGGGCGCAGAAGCGGAGGACTTCGGCAGCGACAAGTGGGTCGCGAATGTGCCCGGTTTTGATGAGCTTGGCATGAACTTGTTTGACGTCGCGAATGGTTTTGCATGTCTGGAGTTCGGGGAACAGTACGGATGGGTGTGGAGTAGCGGCTGTGGGATTGAGGATTGTGGAGTTCATGGGTGTGTGAGAGACAAATTGGTTCCAGAGGGTCATTGATTCGAGTTCTGAATAATTTGAATCAACCACGGGCTTAATCAGCCATTAAAATTTGGCTAAATTGCACGGTTAGTCTCTGAAGTTTGCCATTTATTACATTTTTGTCTCTAAATTTTTAATTTTATCAATTTCGTCCTCTATATTAATACATTTACTGACTTAAGTTTTTACTCTTAACTGCCGTCTAAAAAAGTGCAAAAAAGAGCACGTGAGTGGCATGTGATAGAGTTAGAAAGACAATACACATTAAATNGTCTAAAAAAGTGCAAAAAAGAGCACGTGAGTGGCATGTGATAGAGTTAGAAAGACAATACACATTAAATGATTATATTACCCTTCTAACTCCATCACATACCACTCACATATTTTTTTTCCGTCACTTTTTTCGACGGTAGTTATGAGTAATGACCAAAGTTAGTCAATGTATTAATATAAAAGACGAAATTGACAAACTTAGAACTTCGAAGACAAAAATGTAACAAGTGACAAACGTCGACGACTACGGGTGAATTTACCCTTAAAATTTCAGTCATACTAGTGACCAAATATTTGGACACAAGCTCAAATATGTGGAAATTCCTCACCCACTAATAAATAAATAAAGGGTTCAACAATCTTCGATTTGGATATTTAAATTTTATCTTATCATTTGGACTATAAATTTAGTCTCAAATTTGGTTAGTTAAGAATTTTTGTTAAATTTTACACCAATTTTGCATTGAACTACAAAATTAATTTGAGTAATCATGGTCGTTATCAAGGTATACGATCTGAGAAACACGAGCGTAGTTTGGATTTGGCTTGATTTGGATTCAAAAAAATTAGTTGAATATGATTAGGTTTGAGTTAAATCCTATCAACGTATGATTGTAACTTAGCTTGAACAAAATTATGTTTATTGATAATTTTAATTTAATTGCTAAATACCATGTTAGAATATAAAATTGGTCTTAGAAATAACGAGTAAAATTTTAATATGTTTAGTGGTTTCAAGTAGAAATGATGGTAGAAAATTAAAGTAGAGTTCGGACTACACACTCCCCTCTCCATCTTTTTTTGTTGACTTTTTAAATTTCAACTCCTAGAGTTTAATTTAGCAAATTTTGCTGAAGAGATTATGTTAATTGATTTTTAAGTCGGTGTGTTTTTTACTATTGTTGAGAGTAGGTCGGCCTTTCAACGGATCGAGTTTAGATCGAATTTTAATTGATGCAAATTTGAACTTAATTTTAAAATTCTAATTTGAATTCAATTCGATATATTTTATTTTCGTGGTCTATATTCGAATCCGTTAACAATCCAAAATTTAATTCGATTCTAATAACTTAATTAACTAAAATTTAACAAATTATACTTAAATGTCAACTAATTTTTTTTAAATAATCACTTATTTGCTTTACTATTTATGTATAAATATACAAATAATTCGAATCGGATATAAATATATCTAAATTTGAATCCGTGAAATATAAGATATAAGATTNATTTATGTATAAATATACAAATAATTCGAATCGGATATAAATATATCTAAATTTGAATCCGTGAAATATAAGATATAAGATTCAGATTATCGATAAAAAATATCAATTCATATTAGCCTAATTAAATTTGAATCAGAATCTAATCTATTGACATGCCTTGATTTTGACTCGAAGACTGGTAAGCTTTTGATGAGCTCAATTTGAGCAAGAATTTAAGATTAATAGCTGAATTTGCTTAGTCACAACCAAATTGAATATGATCATCAGTTCAATCTGCAGCCCTATTCATTCGAGTCTTATGTTTTTGAATGTACCCAAAAACACACTCCCAAATGTAATTAGTACGTAATATTTATAGGTTCTCATGCACAAAGAAAAATCAGCCAGACCCTATGCCCAAGTAGTGGTGCGACTTGTACAGGCTAACATGAACCCAGCTCATAAAAAATAGAGTTTGAGTTGAAATTTTTAAAATTTGGATTGAATTTGGGTCGAAAAATTTTAACCCGAATTCACTCGGGTTAAAATCTTGGGACCATAGGTTCAACCTGAATTCACAATATAGGTTCAATTCAAAATTATATATNGGACAGGCTAATCTGAACTCAGCTCATAAAAAATAGAGTTTGAGTTGAAATTTTTAAAATTTGGATTGAATTTGGNGTACAGGCTAACATGAACCCAGCTCATAAAAAATAGAGTTTGAGTTGAAATTTTTAAAATTTGGATTGAATTTGGGTCGAAAAATTTTAACCCGAATTCACTCGGGTTAAAATCTTGGGACCATAGGTTCAACCTGAATTCACAATATAGGTTCAATTCAAAATTATATATATAAATATATACACACACGCACACACACAAAATTTAAGTATTTTTTAGGTTTTTATTAATCTTATTTTAAATTTAAGTTGGTGAAACTATTGGGTCATCTCCGAAATTGAGCCCGAATCATGAACCCAACTTGAGCCCGAATTAGTTCACCCGAGTTAAGCCAAAATTATCTTGAACAATAATTGGATTAAGAACCTTAGATCGGAAGTCAGGTTCGCGTTAGATTAGGATAGAAAATTTTACAATTTGAGTTGGGTATGNGGATTAAGAACCTTAGATCGGAAGTCAGGTTCGCGTTAGATTAGGATAGAAAATTTTACAATTTGAGTTGGGTATGAGTTGATCCTCTAATCCGCTCAACCCACGAGACCCCTATGCCCAAGTTTAGGTCTGATAGCAGAAATCTCATTGGTTTTGGGCCGGATGAAGCCCACAATCGTTCGGCTTTGCACAAATGCGACGCATGCTATTTGGGTAGTTGTTGGGTGGCAAAACACATCTAGTACCAGGCCAGAAAATGGGCCATAGGCCTCATGTCTTAGAGCTCCAATGTGTGTGTGTGCGCGTGGGGAACTGCACCCTAAATGGCAAAAGTTCAATAGTCGAAAGCATCACACACTTATGTTTTGACCCGATTAACGTGGATCGTGGATCGCATTAGTTGATAGCAGTAGGACAATAATCCTTTGAATGAACCGGAGAAGAGAGAACTTCAAGTTCTAGTGGAAAATTTTGTGCAGTCGATACAATTTTTTTTTAACTCTTTTGAGTAGTATAGTTTACAAAACTACATGATATATAAGACTATAATCCATGTCATATGTATTGTGTTTTCCTAAAGTAACATCCTTTATGAAAGATATTCTCAATCTTCCATAGAAGATTCTTATAGTAATACTTTGCTTTATAATCGAATAATTTCTACATGTAGATTATACGGCCAAAAAGTTAAGATGTGACTGAAAAGTTAATACAGACATTAATCTATTTGTCTTGAATGCAATGAATTTTGGTATGGCTGCTAAATCCATGGCTGCCAAACAAGAGAACAAAGTTGAATATTGTGCGTACTCCCAAAAGAAGTTCAAACTAATCATTACATACATTGGTCTTCAACTCCCTCAGCAATGCATTGCCACCAAATCAATGTCAGCAACACATCTAATAAATATATAGAAAATGGGCCCCCAACAATTACATTTCATCTTTGTCAAATTGTTCTCCAAGTGTTATCTGCACTTGCTACTATTTCTCTCTCATGAACACCATTATATCTTTCCTTGTACTTTTAATCCCCTAAGAAGTGGTTTTGACTAAGTTTGGGCTTTTCTTTAACCCTTTTTGATGTGGATATACTCATTGTTTAGTATAATTAGCTTCACTCAAAAGCTACCAAGTTGCCCAAACAATGATTTCTATTTGAGTTTCTCTATACCTATATATTAATCATCAAATCCAGATAAGCAAGTAAAAACAAGGGTTGGAATTTGGAACTAGTCCATGTCAAAACCTTCCTCTCGCCACCCGTATTGGTTCAGTAATCGAATAAAGGATGATGTATAAATTCATATGTTTTGAGTTTAAATTTTACTTGTCAAATAAAATTCAGTTTGATCAATGTATCAGATTTATGGGTTCTTACGTGCATCTCGAGGTTTACATTCAATCATAAATCTAAAAATACTTAGTTGGATGTTTTCCTCTTAGAATTTTTTAAAAAAAAATATTCCTCTCTCCTCTCTCCCTCTCTGGTGTCTTTATCAGTGATTAAAACTTTGCCAAGTGATTGGCCCCTTAGGAGGCATGTCTCTTGTGCCATCATAATGGCTTCCAATTTGATTTAGGATCACAGTTGCAAGCAAAGTCCACGGCAATACTATAAAATTTACACCATGGGGTCCTGCCTTTGGTCACAATTAAGCTGCTCAAAATTCCACATGCACGTATTACATCTCTTTCTCTCTCATGCATGTGCTAGTGTTTGTATATAGAATAGTCTGTGTGTGGGGGAGATGATTAGTATGCTCAGTGCTTACGAGCTTGTTAAGCAATGACATGACGTAGTATTTTATGCCACACCCAAAGGGTACTGTTTTTCATCCTGTGATGGACCCATTGGGATTTTTGTGAATCCTCTTCAAATGCTACACCAGTTGAGAAGGACAATGACCTTTTTTTTTTTTTTTTGTAATTATACACTATTACATGAAAAGGAATGATAAGGTTCGAACCCACGAAAATGAGAACATGATCAAAATGACTAAGTTCTGATAAATCTTAGGTACTAGATGAGACAAAAATGAGAGCATGATCAAAACCCACAGGTTGATCAAATGATTAAGCAAAGGGTGGGTTTTAACTGTTAAAAATATATTTTGTAAAAATAAAAAAAATAGCTAACTAGTGCAACATATATCAAAGAAAAATGAGCAAAATAAGGTAGCTAGAAAGTACAATACTGGAAAACACATGGGAACGGGGAGCTAGCAAGTGCTTCACCCCCCCAAAAAAAAAGCACCCAATAAAAAAAAATGACTCACATGTGAGGGGGGAGTGTTGAAACTCGCATGTGGGAGATGGCAAAAAGCCGTACCACGTTGATTTTGCAAGGGAAAAACAATGAGTAAATATATAAAGTTGGGATAAACTCATTTAAGTTTAGGCTTAAACTTTTGGGGTCGGTTTTTATCCAACTTGCCTACAAGCCCAATTTCTAACATTAACACACATACCTCTTAAATATGGGTTTTATGGCTGCATGGACCCGAGTTTAATAGATGAGTGTGATTTACGGGTGATATTCTATTGCAACTATGAGTATATAGAATGAATAGTTAGGAGAAGTCCGTTAAAATTGACATAAAAAACCCGAAATCCATCCAAATTTTTTAAAATTTCATTGAGCCATACATATCGATTTAGATAGGATAGTACTTTTATGTTGTATGCCAAGTTTTTTTTTTTTTTNGCATTAGTTCATAGCAGTAGGACAATAATCCTCTGAATGAACTGGGGAAGAGAGAACTTCAAGTTCTAGTGGAAAATTTTGTGCAGTCGATACAAATTTTTTTAACTCTTTTTGAGTAGTATAGTTTACAAAACTACATGATATATAAGACTATAATCCATGTCATATGTATTGTGTTTTCCTAAAGTAACATCCTTTATGAAAGATATTCTCAATCTTCCATAGAAGATTCTTATAGTAATACTTTGCTTTATAATCGAATAATTTCTACATGTAGATTATACGGCCAAAAAGTTAAGATGTGACTGAAAAGTTAATACAGACATTAATCTATTTGTCTTGANATATAAAGTTGGGATAAACTCATTTAAGTTTAGGCTTAAACTTTTGGGGTCGGTTTTTATCCAACTTGCCTACAACCCCAATTTCTAACATTAACACACATACCTCTTAAATATGGGTTTTATGGCTGCATGGACCCGAGTTTAATAGATGAGTGTGATTTACGGGTGATATTCTATTGCAACTATGAGTATATAGAATGAATAGTTAGGAGAAGTCCGTTAAAATTGACATAAAAAACCCGAAATCCATCCAAATTTTTTAAAATTTCATTGAGCCATACATATCGATTTAGATAGGATAGTACTTTTATGTTGTATGCCAAGTTTTTTTTTTTTTTGAGAGATGCACATTTGTAGGAGTCTAAGCTTCTAGGGTGCTTGCATCACACATGACGCAAGGCTTCCCTAAGCAGCCACCCATAAAAACTTAAAAAAAAAAAAAAATTGTAATCCTTAGCTTTGTGACACAAGACGACTACCGAATACCCATCAAAAGTAGAAAAAAGCTAAAAAGGCTACTCAGCAGTATTAGTAGGAAAGAATGCTCAAATGCTCCCCCAACAAAAAAACTCACAGTGCTCACTGGGCTCCACACAACCCCTCCTTCCCTCTCTACCATTAATCCCTTATTCACTGCAGGTGAGGATCTCCATAACATAGCCAAGAAACCACAACCATCAAGTGTATACAATTTCCTACCAACAGCTATGGGTGGGTGAAAAAATATCAAGTGTATAAGTTAAAAGTGTCACAGTAATATAATCCTCTATCAATAAATAAACAAGTTTGAAAGTGTATACGTTAAAAGTGTCACGTAATATAATCGTCTATTAATAAATAAACAAGTCCGAAAGTGAATTCCACAAAAATTCATAATCACTTTCCCAATATAAAGTGAACACTATTTTATCTATTTTTATACTTTTTTATTAGATAATTACAACACATCAACATTGCTGACATGGTACGATCATTACACCTAATATTNCTTCTATTAATAAATAAACAAGTCTGAAAGTGTATACGTTAAAAGTGTCACGTAATATAATCGTTTATTAATAAATAAACAAGTCCGAAAGTGAATCCCACAAAAATTCATAATCACTTTCCCAATAGAAAGTGAATACTATTTTATCTATTTTTGTACTTTTTTATTAGATAATTACAACACATCAACATTGCTGACATGGTACAATCATTACACCTAATATTTACTCAGGTGGGTGGGTTGGGGGGGGGGGGG